GACGGAAGAAAAGTAAGATCAAAGGAAAGAAAAGTGAACGCAGTGTGTTTGATGTCTACAGCTAAATATAGTGTAATATACCGTGAAAACCTCCAACGGAGCCACCGGATCCAAAAAATGGAGGGGGGTCCCAACGAGATCTTTGCGCCGTACAACGTAACTCGTCGCGCTGATTCTGAATATGCAAAAATCTCGGTTGACGCATCTCTAGAAAAAAACCATCAAATTTTGATATGTGATGTATAAGAAAACAAAAAACAAAATAGTGCTCCACCTTGCATGTAAGCTGAGCAGTATCTGCAAAAGTTTTCCTTTTTATCGGTGCGTATTCTCCATGATGAGCTAAAATTCCAAAATTGAAAATGAAATACTATGGATGTTACGGTACCTGAAAAAATAAAATATTTAATTCCAATGTTTAGTATTCTTTCGCTTTTCAGTTCTTCGTGATTAAAAAATACGCTCCTGGGTGGACTTGAACCACCAACCTTTTGGTTAACAGCCAAACGCGCTAACCGATTGCGCTACAAGAGCACGTTCTCGTTCAACTCGTTCTGCTTGGTATACAAGAAAATCTGTAAACGATGATACTATAGGTATAGGTTCATATTCCATCATGACGTACTCTCTCTCTAGCACAAAATTGGAATTTCATCATATATTTTCTTCAGCACATCATCCACAATCCAGTGGAATGATAGAGAGATTTAATGTCACCTTTATTCCACAAATAGCTAAATTACAAGACTCGGAATGTAACAACTCAGACTAGGTTTTAGATCCGGTGGTGTTCGCTGTAATACCGACGTTCATTCAGCCACAAATTTCTCACCATATGAGCTACAATTTGGGAGAAAACCGCGTTTGCCGATCGATCCACCGCCAACACAACTGAATTACCAATCCATCCGACTACTATGCTCAGTTGAATAAATCACTTAAACTATATCAATTATATTCACGTGAAAATATGATCAAAGAACAAACTGTTTCCACTATAAGATACAATAAAAATAGAAAAGACAAACATTATAATATAGGGGATTATGTTTTAACAAGGATCCAAGGAAATCGTTTGAAATTAGATCCACGATTTCATCCTACTCCAACGATTATAATCAAAGAAAAGCATCCAATATATGTCGTAGAAGATCCAGAAACAAATCAAACATCACAAATGCACGTAAATGACCTTCGTCCCATTTTGGAGGTCAATTTAACAATGTAACATCCATCTAAACATTCTTCATTATGAACAAAATCTTCCTCAGTCATTCTATTCATTTGGTTATGAACGTGTTTTTAAACTAAATTAATTTTCTGTCGAGTGAAACCTGCCGAAAGCTTTGGATTTGAAAACATAGTTTGAGTTTGTTTATAGGAGTACTACCATGTTCAAATTTGTGTCACAGATCTAAGAGCATCGAGTGATTGAAAGACATCATTTTACACTTAAATACCATGGAAATAGTGCAGGCTCTTGCTACTCTTTACCGAGCTCCGGATAATAAGGAAGGATTCAGCTCTTTTAAAGCAAGATCCGCTCATTTACTTTATGTTTTTACTTTAAGTTATTGTTCTTTTTTTATTTATTTTCAATTATAGGAAGATGCCGTACAACCATAATCACAACCACAGTCGTCAACATCATGATTCAAAACGATCAAATGAATCAAAAATATTTTGGTTCGTCACAAGGTGATTAAACGATGAGAAAATTCAATGTTAGAACTGAAATCATTGCTTACATTTCAAATGTTTATACATCATCAAACTGATCGACCGGTTACAAATGTGCAAAATGATTAATTATATGTTGTAGAATAAGGGATGTTTGATAAGGTAAGCCTTCAAAGAGCAGTTTCACAACTTTTCAATCGTTTTTTACACAAGCAGTAGACTGTAAGTCGTTGAAATGCCGGATTCGACAAAAATTTACAAATTTATATTGATACATCATTGAACAGTCATCAAAAACTGTTTTTATTGATTAGCTTGTTATTATTCTTGCATAATTTTGATGTTATTGATTTATCGATGGATCTCTCTCACTTCATTTTGATGTTACATCCTTTTTCGAAGCGGAGAGGTGTTGCGAACCTGGACAGTTCGTCTTCTTTTTCATTCACATGCCAGTGCACGGGAATATTTCTCTTTTTAATACTTCTCCCTTATTCATTCACATTCTAGACACATGGTTCTTATTTGTATATTTAGTTAGACCATAGTCCATTATTTGTCTCTTTGCTTTTCTCTGACTTTTTATATACAAACAGCCAGATAGGTAGATAAATATAGTTTTCTCTCTCTTTGTGACGTGACATAGACTTCCATCTTTTTCTCTTGTTTTACTATATATTATCTGTGTACAGTCATTTGGGTTAGTCTTATTCAAAGTTTTTGTACACTTATGTGTGTGTGTGTCAGCGTGTGATAGTGATTTTTATTATATTTTATTATTACAGTGATTCATTTCTTCCACTTGTTGCACAATAAAATTGTACACACCTTGTCCAATTAATTTGTCAGTCAGACCTTAGAAGAGTACTTCTCATTTTTGCATTGTTTAGTATATGACAAGTAACACGTCATCTACATCTAGTTCAGCCTTCCAACTCTACGACTAGCAGTCATCAAACTTCAAAAGATACCACTTTTCTTCCTTATATTTAATGTCATTATTCTTTCCTTTTTATCGTTATTTCGTTCTATGTGCATATAGCAATAGATACATAAAGTGAAAAAAGACATCATTAAGTGGATAAAAAACATAACAGTAGAACGCACAAAAGGTTTTTGTGAATTTTACCAGTTAAATGCAGATGTCAAAATGAAGCTAGTTTTCCAGTAATTAGATTTTGTCGCTTCAAACAGAGAGAACTTTTTGCTTTATGTTCTAACAATATTTTTTAGGACACGATCACTAAAACAGAATCTCGCGGTTGCAAAAATTGATATAAAGCGTAAAATAATATTTTTCCAGATAATATCTTCTACGCTTCTAAGAACATTTTCAAGTTTCCTACGCATGATATTCGACATCAGCATGCTTAAATACGTATAATTCGCACAAAAATTTTGGAAAAAGACATGTGTAAAAGAAGACTTTTAATTGAGCTGGCCCTTTTGTATTTTAATCCAGAAGTTCATCAAAGGATGAAGACTGCATTCACTAATTAAATTACTTTAAATAATACAAAATGGATATAATAAATCTATAAAATGGAATCTGTAAGAAATTAGATTAATTTGGATGTAGTCCTCTATCCTTTTTTGGCAGTCTGCAGCACATGAACCGTATTCCATAAAAAGATACGTTGTACTTCTTGAGTTGTATGACTGGCAATATCACAGACGAGCATAAGAAAAAGATGCAGTTTTCGATACCGATTGAAAAATCCAACCAATTTTAAAAGCGAGTTTCTCAGATCGTGTTTAAGTTAGACTATTTCTGAAACTTTGATAGCTGAGGTATCAAATAACAATTTTTCCAAAATCATTTTACTCCGAAATGTTTGTTGTTTTCTATGAGATGGAAATTAGTCAATGTTCTTTTTCGGACAAAATCGATTTGACTATACACGTTATACCCTTGCTTGTATTGGCAACATAAACGAAACAAGTTTGTTTATCAGTTCACTAGAAAATGGTTCTTCTGTGAGTAGTTGATTTGCACTTATAGTTGAACAAGAAATATGAAGAAACTGTTGTGTTCAAATATAAAACAGAAATAATTGCATAGTATGACTCTTCTGTGTGCAAGTGACATTTCTTTAATTGAAGAAATATTTTTCTTTCTTTCTGTGACACATTTTAATTCTCCAATGATAATTCATATATTCACAAGACTTGATTATGGCAACATGAGGATTCTTTGTAATAAAGACACTCTTTTCTCTGTCAAATATTTCCTTTGGGTAATACTGAAATAACATCGCGATAAGATGATATCTGTCAGAAACATAATGATGGATCTGATAATATTGCTAATACTTTTTATGAGTATTGTACTATCTTTAGTAATTATAGGTGTATCTATACTTTACTGTAATCGTGATAATAGAGACGCAACACTTTTGTTATCAATGAATACAAATGTAGCCGTTCTATTGTCAAGTATAACATCCTTCATATTGATTCTTCAAAGTTTATTGGGTGATTTTTCTGTCCCTTCATTTATCGATATTACTAGTCCTGTTTGTTCAATACCATTTTATTTATTTTGTTGTTGTTCGACATCAATCTATTATTCCTATTGTCTTCAATCACTTTATCGTCTATGTCGTGTTATATTCTACAAATACAAATATTTTCAAAAGTATTCACTGTATATTGTTCTTTGCATTTTAAAATGGTTATTTTCATTTTTAATTCAATTACCTCCATTATTATGGAATTATATTATTTATTTACCAAATGAATTCTATTGTATAGCACCTATGTTCAATCTAAAATTTGCTGCTTACGTTTGTTCTATACTCTATGGCTTATCAATAACAATTATTTCATTGATTTACGTCTGGATTATTTATTATATAAAACAGCAATCATCGCAGACATTAAAAAATCGTCAAAATCAACGTGATCTCATTATAATTAAACGTATATTAATAACACTCGGTATTTTAATCATATTAGGTATACCAATTATTGTATTTATTCTACTTTTTATTTTAACGAATTATTGGCCATCGTTTGCTTATCGATTAATATGGATGACAATTTCATTTTCATTTCTTTTTCTTAATTTATCATTGATCTATTTTACATCACAGTGGAAACAATCAGTGAAACAATTATGGAACAACCGACGACGACAACGATATATCCTATGTAATATGCCAGTTACATTAAATCTGAACACTGTGAAACATATTTAGATCGGTATTGAGCATTTACTTCAATTTCATCTTCTTTCTATTTCTCTAAAAAACGCAAGAAAATGAAAACATTTAATTTATTTAAATCAAAATCACCAATAAAAAATGTTATATGTTTAAACGCAGAAATATTATCAACACGTTTTTATTAAGCCCCACATCAGTTGAAGGATTGGAATTTTGAAGGGTCAAATTTTTTGAGTAAATGCCACTTTTGGTCTTCCAGACAAAATTTCTCCAAACATTTGAAGCTGACATCAAACACAGAATTCAATTCTCTACAAACTGAGCCGAAAAACTTTATTTTAAAAGTGGTGGACAAGTTCCAAAAGTTGAGAACAAGATAGCAGTCCGATAGCATTTTTTCAGTTTTCAATTCTTTTTATTTCTCTAAAGATTCTCAAAAGCATATCAATTGATGCCGTTTTCGACGCTGATTTCGAATATCACCTTATTTTGTTTCAAAGTTATGTTCTGATGTCGAAAGTCTCAAAAACTGAAAAATGCTATCGGCCTACCATCTTGTTCTCAACTATTGGAACCTGTCCACCACTTTTAAAATAAAGTTTTTGGGCTCAGTTTGTAGAGAATTGAATTCTGTGTCTAATATCAGCTTCAAATGTTTGAAGAAGTTCTGTCTGGAGGACCAAAAGTGGCATTTACTCAAAAAATTTGACCCTTCAAAATTCCTCAATCCTTCAATTGATGTGGGCTTTAAACAGTCAGTTTCTACTTCAAAAGAATGAGGAACTATGTGATTTTGTTCCGTATTTATCAAGCTTTCGAATGAGAAGTTGCTCAAACAGAACGGATAAAAAAATAGCGGAGTTATAGTCAAAACCTATCAGAGGAGAATACTTTTCGCAAATCGACGATGGTGCTCATTTTGTAAATTATATAACTGAGCCAGAAAAAATCGAGAGAAAACAAATATTTTTCGTAACCCAGTGTTGATGATAGAATCCGAATATGAGATAAAAAGTATATGTCAGTTTTTCATTCGTGACCGGTCTCTGACAAGATACTCGATCGACTGCAGGAGTCTCTCTTAAGTGGAAGAAATATTACATATCATTTTTCAGGTAAAGGAGAACATTTTACTCCTGTAAACATTTTAGAGTATTTGAAGACATTTGACGTGACGTCTGAAGAATTTATTTGAATAATCAATTTATTTTCTGTTGTAACGTCTGCAGTTTGAAAAGAATTAAATCATTTCTTGTCGTATCTGTGTGTGGATAGGATTGGGTTTTTTCACTTACTCTCTGTCGTTTTAAATAAGTTAGTTAATCGATCAAGCAGCATCCACCCAAATTCAAAAGAACTTATTAAAAGAAAAACATCGAAGATGAGATAGTTACCTCGAATCACACGTCACTCTGTCATTTTCTATATAATAATCATTGGACTTAAAATTCATAACTAGCAAGACAAAATCCTCAAGCTTTATTGTTAGATTAACTTGTTTTTGAACTGTCAGCCAACACAGTTAAAAAATATTGTGGCGCATTTTGTGTCGCAGTAAAATCTGTCGCAGCACCTGTGAGAAATTTGTGTCGCATAATTGGGTTGCCGTTACTAAGAACTTTCAGACACAGTCCTTGAGGTCATTTCAGGATCTAATCTCTTCAAAAAATTGCTTATTTTACTATTTTCAGCAGTCTTCATTAGTATTTTTCTCGGCTTCTTTTCAATTTTAAGGTGCTATAGGTGGTGCTAATACGTAAAAGATAAGAAAATTTTCGAACTTTCTAAGTGCTTTCTCTAAGTGCTTTCAATTTCGAATTCGTGTTTTTAGTGAGAGCGGAGAAAATACTCTTTCTCTGAGAAGTCAGAAAAAGGCCACTTTAACTGGGACGTTGAGACGTTGATATGGTAAGCTAAGGTAATGTAGACAAGTTGAGAGAAGTTCATACAATATCAT